CTTCTCTCTGCTCATTGTCTTCTTGTGACTTCACTTTTCTCTTTACTCAGTTCAGATACTAGGATTGATCATTGTGATCATTTTTTATATAAAATCTTAACTCCCTTCCCTCTTGCTCCCTTTGTTATATTTGCCTGCTCCCCTGTCATATTTGCCTTATCTGTGTTTTAATTCAACTCCAGTTTATTACACACTTGCCATGGAACAGCTGAACTTGAGTAGAGTAAAACACCCAATCATCTTGTCTTTCCAGGTCTCACTTACCTAGTCAGTTTCCTCTCTTATAAGTAGTTGTTTTATCTCTCTTTCCTCAAACCTCCAACAACTAAAAATCCTTCCTTTTGGTAGCACAATAACCTTCTAACATATTATGTAGTTTACTTACATATTTTACTTATTGTTTTTTATCTATTTCCTTCTGCTAGAATTGTAAGCACCATAAGAAATTGGATTTTTGTATTTTTGCTAACTAATGTATCTCAGGGACCTGGCACACAATAGATGTTTAATAAATATTCATTATTGTCCACACTTTTACCATCTCTACTTCCTGCCATCCCGTATCTTTTCAACCCATCCCACTTAGACTTTCTTAATCAGTTGACATCTTATTCAGCCTTTCAGCACCATTTGATAGAGTTGATTACTTTTCTACTTTGGTTTCGGGGAAATTATACCCTTCTCATTTTCTTACCTTTCTCACAGATAGCTTCTTTCACATGCTCTTTGCTGGAGCTCCTAGCTCCATATCTTCTTCTCAAACTATGAATATTGAAGGGCCCCAGGAGTTAGTCCTCAGCTGTCTTCTCTTCTTGATATACCTTCACTCACTTAATGGTCTCTTTCAGTCCTACACCTATAATTATCATGTGTGTGCCAGTGATACTTACATATTAAATCTAATCCTGACCTTTCCTCGAGCTGTACTCTCTTATATCTAACTGCTTACTTGGTATTCTTCACCAGAATGTCTAGTAGGCATCTTAAAATGACCTACAAGACACCCAATTTTAATCTATTTCACTTTCCCAGCCTTTCCCATCTTGGTAAAAGGTATCACTCTTAACCTGGTTGGTCAGGCCGAAAAACTAGGATCCTTGCTTGATTTCTCAGTGTCTTTTATACCCCACATCCAAATTGTTATCAAGTCTTTACATTCAAATCTATCCTAAATCTGACCATGTCTCGTCATTGCCATTGCTACCACTCTAATACAAGGCTTACTATGTCTGGCTTCTGCTACTGAAGAGACTCCCAATTGGTCTTTTTGTCCCAACTTTTCCCCCTTTTTCACCAGTTCATTTTTTCACACAGACAGAAATATGTTTACAAAGCTGAAATCTGATCATTATTCCTATCCCTAAAAGCTTTTAGTGGCTTTGCCTATCATGTGTAATAAAAATCTGCCAAGAACTATAGTTCTGTCTCCTCTTTGACCACATCTGCTACTGCTCATTCTCTTGAAGACTTGTTGGCTTTTTGCTTTTCCTCAAATGTGCTACTCTTATTCTTATACCAGGGTTTTCATACTTGGTGCTACCTCTGTCTGGAATCCAGTACACATTGTTAACTTCTTCATATCATCAGGAGTTACCCCTGTCTTGACCATGCACTGCCTTGACCACCCTATTTATAATAACTCACCCTTGTCACTTTCTTTCATTATTCTTTTTTTTTTTTTTTTGTCTTTCTGACCTTTCTTTTAAAATGTGTTTATCTGTCACTTCTAGAATATAGGAATAACTTGTGCAGGGATTTTGTCTGTTTTGCTATATCCTCAGAGCCTAAAATAGTACCTGGTTCAGGTGATACTCAATAAGTTAATTGAGTGCATTAAACCTTTTAGAAAAGACATATTTTAAAAATCAAAAGCAGTCCTTTAAAATCATGATTGTCCATCCACAACTTTTAAAAAGACTGACAGTACAATATGCTAGACCTTTAGGAAAACATCTTAGTGACTCCTTGAAGGTGACAAGCAGGTGTTAACATTCTAAGATGTTCTGGAGATCATCCCAAAATACTGAAAATATAAGTGATTCTAAATTCCTTTCAGAAATGTTTAGTCGTTGAATTATTCTTTCAGTGGTTTCACCCAGCCTAAATACCCTTTTGAGGAGGTGTTTTAAATTTGGGGGAAGATATAGTTCTTTTGTTTATCTTTATATAATTCTTTGGGAGTTTGTCTAAACTTCTTTGCATATTCTAATTCATTTGAGAAAGTATAGTCTGGTGGATGAAAGGGAAAATTGCTGACCTAAGTGTCAAAAGAGATGTAATTCTATTGGGGACCCTATTTTTTGAATTTCTATCTGTCTTTGGATAGTATTTCTTCCCTGTACTCTGTCTCTAATATGGGAGAGAGTGAAATTATCCTGTATCCAACTATATTATATGTCACAATCTATGTATATATGCTTTATGCTTAAGTGCTAAGGAGGAAGAAGCACTTTTATGTGGAAGTAACAGAACCATATATGCTATGAATATTAACTTATAGTTTTATATAAATCTTTTAAATAATATTTTCCTGATTTTCTTGAGTAACTCATGAACTCATCAACTGTGTCATCACCTGTGTGTTCTTTTGTAGAATGCTACAAATTTAGTTCTTTCTTTTCTCTAAGCTTGACTTTCCCCTAAGCAAGATTAGCATGTTGGTCTTTATAAAACATATTTCAGTTCTATGACTAGTTCATTAATTCCACAAAGATCTGCTGAGTTTCTACTACATGCCAGGACCTGTTCCAGTGAACAAAAGACAAAAAACCTTCTTGTCTTCATGGACTTTTATTGAAAGGAGTTCGCTATTAGGTTATTAAATATGAAATATCCGATTTCAAATCAAAAGTTTAGTTTATTGTATCTCAAACAAGAAGCAGTACCATTAATCAAAGTACGTACCTAAACTGCCAACACAGTTTTGCCATCTTAATGGTAGCTTGCTTATGTCGGCAGCAAAGAAGTCTGAGCAGGTGGCGATGAAATTGTGAAAGGTGTTTTCCACAGCTTGTTGAGAATTGAATATTTTTCCTTGCAAGAAGTGGTCCAGAGTCTAGAATAAGTGCTAGTCAGTTGGTGCAAAGTCTGGTGAATATGGTGGATGACAGAGTTTCCAAGTCCAGCTTCTGTAGTTTGACCAGCGTTGTTTTTTGTGACATATGGTCTTGCAAGAGGATTCGCCTATCTGTGTTGACCAATCCTTTTTTTTCTATGAGACAGAGTCTCACTCTGGCTAGAGTGCCGTGGCGTCAGCCTAGTTTACAGCAGCCTCCAACTCCTGGCCTCAAGCAATCCTTCTGCCTCAGCCTCCCGAGTAGCTGGGACTACAGGCATGCACCACCATGCCAGCTAATTTTTTCTATATATTTTTAGTTGGCCAATTAATTTCTTTCTATTTTTAGTAGAGATGGGGTCTCGCTCTTGCTCAGGCTGGTTTCAAACTCCTGACCTTGAGCAATCTTCCCCCCTTGGCTCCCAGAGTGCTAGGATTACAGGCGTGAGCCACCACGCCCGGCCTGTGTTGACCAGTCTTAGCTGCTTAATCATAAGCATCCTCATCATTTCATCCAGTTGGTTGCAGTAGACATTCGCTGTAATCAACTGGCCAGATTTTGTGAAGCTGTAGTGGTTAATACCAGTGCCAGACCACCAAACAGACACTATTAGCTTTTTTTGATGACTGTTTGGTTTTGGACTGTGTGTCAGTGCTTCATCTTTATCCAACCATTGTGCCAAACACTTGTGATTGTCGAAAAGAACCCATTTTTCATCACATGTAACAACACAGGGTAAAAATGGTTCGCCTTTATGTTGTGACAGCAAAGAAAGGCAGGCTTTCAGATGATTTCTCTTCTGATGCTGGTTTAGTTTATACGGTACCCGTCTATCCAGCTTCTTTACTTTGCCCATTTGTTTCAAATGGTCTAGTAGTGTTGGAATAGTAACATTAAAACTTGCTGCTAATTCATGCATAGGTTGAGATGGATTTGCTTCCACTACAGCTTTCAGGTTATCATTATCCACTGTGGTCTCAGGTTGCCCCGGTGGCTCATTTTCAATATTAAAATCATCAGATGGAACTTCTGAAACCATCCACATTCTGTGCATTCATTAGGCACATCCTTCCCAAACACTTCATTGATATTTTGAGCTGTCTGCACTGCGTTGGTTTTATGAGGGAACTTATTTTCAAAAATAACGTGAATTTTTGACTTATCCATGGTTTCACAAAAGTTTCTCTAAAAAAATTTTGAAAGTAATCACAAAGTAAAATGTATGTTTGAAAGACTGAGGGATATATCTTTATAATAAAAATAAAACAAGAAGTATCAAAATGAAATGTCAGAGATATCAACTGTCAGAATTAGTACTTAAGAGAATTGGACATTCCATACTTAATAACCTAATAATTAAAAAGTTAATTATATTTGTGGTCAAATGCATGTATAAACATACACAAATCTCATGCACGCTGGATATACACAAGTATCTATAAGTGTTGTGGAGACAGAAAGAAGAGTGTAGAGAATGGAGGTGATGATCACATTTTTATAAATGATAGTTGGATGATATTTGAGTAAAGATATAAAAAATTGAGGTAGCAAACTATAGAGATCTTAGAAGAAATATATTTTAAGAATTAAAATAATAACAATTTTGAAAAATTATGGATTGTGCATATGATAGGTGCCTGCCATTCCCATTCTTCAGTTGTATAGAATATTTGATTTCCTTTGAAGACAAATCTCAAATTATAGCATTTTAAAGCAAGAAGGGAATTTAGAAATTATTTGTCTTTGTTTCTTTACATACAAAGCATAGTTTACATACAAAGTTTCTTTACTTACATAGCAATCAAACAATTTGATCAAAGAAACAGGTATTATAATGTAAACAAATAATGAAATGATGTTAGCTAATTCATGATCGCCAGTAGCATTTAGCAAAATAAATAAGGCATTTAAAAATGTTGAATTAATGGATTATAGAATTGCTTGAATGAAATTTGATGGTAAGTAAAGATAGAGGTTTTAGTTCCTGTTGTTTGGTGGTAAGTTAAGCCAAACCAGAGTAAACTTGTGAAGCAGTGAAATTGTAAATTCCTGAGATTCATCCATGTCTGAATCCATGGAACTAGCTCTGAAACATCAGTTAAAGCCATAGAAAATGCAATGGGATGAAAAAGAAAGCTTCATAATAACTGAATTTTTAAAATTTCCTTCACTTGTATTTTTTTAGCTCCTGATCACCCAAGACTGTGCTTGTAGTTTCATTTTTTAATGTAATGAGTTCTCTTATGTCATGATCAAACTCACTTGTAACAGCAAACATTTTATCCTTATGATCTAAAAATTTTTTAAAGATTTGGTGTCAAGTATCTGTGACTCATTTATCTTTTCCTAAAAGTAAACATTAAATTGAAAAATTTTCTCAGTCATAAACTTTTCATAGTGTGATGTTACTGATTCTTTAACATTGTCACTCTACTTCATTGAATTCAGCCTCCTTTAATAAGATATATGACATTCAACATTTTCATTAACTCCTGGAAGTTAACAGAAAATGTGCTAGATTCTTTCTTATTCCGTTCATTGTTTGTTCTGATTCTTTTCTCCAAGCCTGATTGACTTACAATTTCTTGTCATCCAACTGTTTCATAAATCCTGCATTAAAGAAGTGTGAGTTGTATTAGCATCTCGCAACAGATATTTGTCATCTATGTGAAATATGATCTCCTTTGCCTATAGGCTACATTAATAACATTTATTAATAATTGGTAGGCAAAAAGACCATTTAAATATTATCTTCTAAAACAACTAACTAAAGAGAGATGTACTTAAGCAATGTCTATTATCAGGATAGCCTAGTTTGGAAGGTTTTCTTTTTTCATAATGTTCTTTGATGAATCATGAAGAATAGTTCTACACAACATCATGAATACCTCCTTTACATCCAATCTTTATGATATGAACCTCATAAAAGAAGTATTCCACTCTTTAACATTACCTTAAGGGCTCTGGAGTTTTTGAGGTGGTATACCAACAAAGGTTTTGGTTTAATGTCATCTTCACACTTTACACTTAAAAAGCAGTGTTGAACTATCTTTTGACATCCTGATGTTCTAACACTGTTCTTTCTTGTGTAAAAACCAGTTGAGGTGGCATTTTGTTTCCCATAAAAGCTATAGTTCATCAAAATTGAAAATGTGTGTAGTGGTTTAAACACATTTGCCAATACTGTAGTTTTTTTTTAATTCACCAAGGAATACTGCTGTAGCCTCACTGTCAATAGAAACTGCTTACTAAATTTTAATCTTCAAAGTATATCATTTATACAATTCTTAAATTTCTCAAACCATTCTGGACTTCTTTAAAACTCAACTCTTCACTAAATCATTGCCTCCTTCACCTAAGTTATATAACAATACAGTGTGATTGAGGTTTGTTATAAGATTTTAAGAAATTTTTGTGGAATTACAAAAAATAGTACCTACAAACGTTAAGGTTATGTAAAAAAAATAAATAAATAAATAAATAAAAAAAACAAAAAATAGTACAGATAATTCTACTTGAAGTGAGAGCTCAGAAGAAAATATACTGTTGCCAGTTTAGGCTTTACAATAGAGGTAAACAGTTAAGCAGAATTTCCTCAGTAGAAGAAAGCAAAGGGAAAACGGATGATTCCTATATCGGTGTTCTTTAGCCAAAGTAACTAACTTTGGCTGTGTTAAGGAAAAGGGGAAGAGTTATTGGGAGACTATTGAGTATTGAAGGTTCCTAAAATTATTGAAGGTTCCTAAAATTATCTAGAGTCTAGAGGACCACTTGGCAAATAATAAGGAACCTAGGAAAATAGAGGAACCATAGCCAAGGACAGTTTATAATAAAGAAACATGTCTTATATAAGCTGAGGTTTATGGCTTCCCTAATGTGCTTGTTTTTCCAATTCCTGAAAGGAATCATTCCATTGGCTGAGTGCCTACCCACCTTCAGCACCATTGGGACAGAGAGACAAAAGATGGATCTAGCCTCTTCTACATCTGTAGTACAGGTAGTCAAAAGATGGAAATAGCTCTCTAGAAAATGAATATACCCAAACAGACCAGGTATATAAAAAGCAGAAGATTATAGAGTTGTCAGGTGAATTGTGTATGTTTTTTATTAATAGTGCTTTCTACCTACTAGCTAACTCCCTGGAAAAAGTAGGGCTGGAGTGCTAAAAATAGGAGACTTGGGCGTTAACAGTACAAAAAAAAAAAAACAAAAAAAACACAGATATCTATTATAACCTTTAATTTGCTAAAAACAAGGACACCGGACACCTCCTCAGCCTTTAGGTGGCTTAGATTATACAGTATTTGACTCTGTCAGTCTTTCTTAAAAACTCTTTTTTTTTTGCTATGCCATTTTTTGCCAGTTCTCTCTTTACTCCTCTGCACATTTGTTTCCCTTTATCTCTCCTCTGTTTTTTTCTCTTTAGTATGAGGAGGGAGGTACAAGTGGGGGTAAGGTAGTTTTTCTTGTTCTTTATTTCATTAAGTGTTGTTTTTTCTTAAGTTTCAATTCTCAGCCTCCTTTTAATTTTATGCATTTTCTCTAGACAGTTCTACCTAATCCTATAATTTTAAGCCCTCACATTCTGTTGATAGAAAATCTGTGTTGCTAGTCTTTATTTTTCAGGTTCATATTCCTGGCTGCTTCTAGATTATCCACTTTCAGATATAACCCACAAGAATTTTGAAGGAGGTAATATGTATGTATAACATTGAAAAATATTACTGTTTTTTTTTTTTACTTCCACTCCTATGTACCCCTTTGCTGTGCTGCTAGATTCCTCTCCTGTGAGCTACTGCAGTACTATATTTTTCATTCTAATATGTTTATGTGAATTTATCTCTCTCCTTCGTCAAACTGGAAACTCTTTGAGGGTAGATACTGTCTTTTATTTAACCATTTTTATAATACATAGCACATAAATTTATGCTCAACAAATGTTGAATGAATTTTTCCTCTCCAATTCCCCAGAAAATGAGGAGTCTAAAAACTCTATTCTGTGACCGAAGTTCCTTAAATAAATAACTTATATTGTAAGTTACTTTGAGTAGAAACTTTACTCTAAAATACTTGTTGAGTAATTGAGTCTACCAAGTCCACTCAATCCCATTGATTCTACTTTGAAAAATTAATTGTTTTATTGGCCATGCAGTTAGGTGGTTATGTTTTTTTGGCTTTATTATGGCCTTCCACATATTTATCTTGACACTAATTTTCTTTTTAAAACAAAGCCATTATCCTCTTACTCAAACTTTGGTTTCCTGCTGTTGTTTAGTATCAACAGTAGAGGCACACTGAAATCGGTACTTAGATGTACTTCAGTGTTTTTGCTCCTTCCTGTTTCCTCTTTGCTTGATGAACCCTAAATCATCTTTCAAGGAAGAAATGTTTCATCTTCTCTCCTTTCCTGATTTTTTTTTTCCATTACTTCCAGGCAAAAATGAAAGTTTCCTTTCTAGATTTCCTGTAACACATTGTATATGCGAAATGGAACAAGAATTTTATGTGCTCTGCCAAGAGGAGTAGAATAAAAAATAAAAATCTGTATTATGTGGGCATCTGTTCTTTTTGTTAGAATACACCTTATAGGGACAGTGATATGAGAGATATATGAATTTACTGTTCTTTTTTTAAAAAATTTTTTGTTGTAAGTTGGGAACTTATAATTGTATAAATTTATGTGAGACAAAGTGACGTCATGATTTATGAATCCAATGTGGGATGATTAAATCAAGCTAGTTAACATATTCATCACTTCAAATACTTAACATTTTTTATGGTGACAACATTTGAAATTTATTCTCTTAGCAATTTGAAATGTATAATACCCTATTATTAACTATATTCACCACATTGTTCAATAGATCTCCAAAAAATAAAAACCCCAAACCATATTCTTTATAACTGAGATTGTGTACCCTTTGACTATTATCTCCCCATTGCTCCCACCCCACAGCCTCTGTAACCACTCTATTCTCTATGCTCCCAGCCCTCATCTGTGTAAAAATTATCTTCCATAAAACTTAGGAACAGGCTGCACAGCAGAAGGTGAGCTGTGTGTGAGTGAGTGAGACTTCACTTGTATTTATAGCCACTCTCCATCACTCTCATCTCTGCCTGCGCCTCCCCCTGCCACCGCATGGAAAAATTGTCTTCCATGAAACCAGTCCCTGGTGCCAGAAAGGTTGGGTACCACTGATACACAGTAGTAAAGTTCAGAAATATTGTTAAGAGTCCAAACAAATAAAGGAAGAGCCTATTCAAAAGGTGATGCAAAAGCAGTTTCCTGGTCATCATTCACCTTCTCAGTTGGCTTACATATGCAGATATCTTAACATTTTGTTCCCTGACATAATATGTTCCTAAAGTGGGTTTTTTCAAATTCCTGGGCTCAAGCCATCTTCCTGCCTCAGCCTCCCAAGTAGCTGGTACTACAGGCATGCACCTTCATATCTGGTTGGTTTTGTTTTTTAACAATAACTGATGTTTACACATTCAGTGCTCCTGCCACAAGTTTTATGTGTGTGTTAGAGGATGCTGTGAATAAAAGAGTTTGATATTTTTAAGCTTCTTGGAAAATCTACACATCTTTGAGGTCTGCTTTTCTCTAACTTTTCTTTTTATTTTTCTTTATTTCAAGTTTTGTCTCCTTAGGTTTGTAGGTTCTTCATGATATTTTAAATGTTTTAAATTAAACCACAGTGTTTATTGTTTATATACTTTACAAACAGTAGTTATCTGTGTCAAAAATAGCAGGTTGTTAGATAACTAAAGTAAAAATACTGTGACAGTTCTTCAACTTAGTTTTTTTTAAAGATGTACTTTATCAAAGCATAAAAAGAAAAAATTTTGATTTCTCTTATAAATGATGTGTCTAAAACTCTAACCCCAGAGTTCTTAAAATTATATTGCCTCTTGGTATCTTAACTATAAGACTTTAACTTGATTGTAATCTACCTACAAATTTTAGATAGCCCAACATACTTAATTAGGTAATATTAGAATCTAAAATGCAGGGTCTTTTAAGGAAAAAAGAAAACTTTTTTTTTTTTTTAGGAGAGTATCTTACTGTATTACTCAGGCTGGAGTACAATGGCACAATCATAGCTCACTGCAGCCTTGAACTCCTAGACTCACGTGATCCTCCTGCCTTAGCGTCACTAGTAGTTGGGACTACAGGTGCACACCACTATACCTAGCTAATTTCTTTTTATCTTTGTAGAGACAGGTTATCACTATGTTGTTCATGCTAGTCTTGAACTCCTGGGCTCAAGCGATCCTCCTACCTCAGCCTCCCTCCTGAATCTCTAGGATTATAGGCATGGACCATCAAGCCTGGGTAAAAAAAGACAACTTTTCATTTCAAATTAGCCAAAGACTGAAATATTCCAAGTGTTCTGAACTGAAATAAAAAGGGAGAAGAGGAGGGGTATGTTGGTGGGTCAGCTGTTTTTTTCCAGATAATTTTCTCTATGTACTGTAGTTTTATGCATGATAAAATATAGTGTAAAAAAATTTTAGTTAAAAGCTAGCCACTGAATCAATCTACCATCTCAACTATTTTATAAAAGTCTCAAGTTCTGTTTTGTCATAATTTTACGTTTGATATT